CCCCCCCCCGCTGCACCCCGCACCTCACGCCATCATCAGACCTGACCCGAACCTTTGCACTTCTCACCTCTTGGCGCTCATCGCATCTCAGTCTGCTCGCCAAGCCTTCAGAACCCTCGCCATATGCACTCTTCACCGATCACGCGCTACCGGTGACGAGCATCGCTGCAGCGGGCGTGACCGGCACGATGACGGGGAGGATGTGGAGTGCTAGCAAAGATGGGACGATCAAGGTCAGTCTGACTGCTGGAGCGCGGCTCATAGCAGCTTGCAACGCAGCCAGTCAAATCCATCATCCGCTGGACGTGTCCCTCACGCTCCTCTCTTCTCTTTCTCTCTCTCTCTCTCTCTCTCACGCACATGCCGATGCCGCACGCATCTGGACCCCAACACCCGCTCAGACTTGGAGCTTGAAAACGCGCAAGCTAGTCTCAACACACATCTTGCCGTACCCCGCACACTTCATGGTCGTCGACCCTACTGCCAGATTCATTTTTGCAGCCGCATCTGCTCCCTCTGGCGGTGCAGGACTCGTCCTAAAGGTGGACCTGATCTCGCCATCCTCTGGCTGGACAGAAGGCCCCATCGCACACGCAAACGGCGACTCCGGCGACGATCACGCGGCCAGCACGACACAGGTACAGGTCGGGTGAGTGATCGCTCGTGCAACAAGCGCGGTAAAGTGCTGCAATGGCCCTCTGGAGACTGTTAATCATCTCACGTGCTCGCATCACAGAGGTACACCGACCGCCATGACGCTGTCGCCTTGCGGCACGCTCCTTCTAGTAGGCACGACAAATACGACGCTGAATATCATCGATATCCACACGTTCCAGATTCTGCGCACCGTCGATCTGTCGCCCGAGGTCCATGCTCAGACGACGTCGGCCTCGTCCAGCAGCAGTACAACCAAACGCCACGTCTCCAACTTGGTCTGTCTGGCCCGGCCGAACGGTAGCGTGGGAACCAGCGCGGGCTCTGCAACCACCGATCACAAGAAGCGTCGCATGGACAGACTCGGCAGAGGTCTGGGTGACCAATGCGGCGATCTGCACTTCGCCTTGCACGGGTCGCACCGAGCAGGCCAGGTGAGTCCGGTTCCGCTGCATGCCGATGAGCACTCGAGCGCTGTGGCTGATCAATGCATTGCGCCCAACAGCTTCGAGCATTTCTTACACCACCAAGCCGAATCTTCTCGCGTCCAGAGCCCGTGCGATTGACAAAGGATCCCGAGAAAGCTCTGCAACCTTCAGTTGCTCAGTTCAGCTCGACAGACAAGCAGACGCTGGAGGCCCAGATGCAAGAGATAGCATCTCTCCGCGCGCAGCTGGAAAAGGCGACCAAGGTCAACGAGGAGCTTTGGAAAGTGGCTGTAGAAGGCACTGCAGGGGCAAATGGCGGCAACGCGCCAGGCAAAGCATCGAGCTCGAAGAGCAAGCGGCGGAAGCAATGATGAAGATAGAGCCTCTTGCACAAACAAATGTATTATGCGCATGAAATGTGACAGTGCTCTGTCGTTCTCCCCCTGCCCTTTTTTCGCCTGATGATGCTGTGCTCGTATGAGAATGGTTGTGTGGCTGAGTGACGTGGTGGTGAAGCATCTGTTGCGAATGCTGCTGCACGCCCCATTCCATCAGCTGGGCCGAGCAATCCAACCACAAACTCGCGAGCTTCGTGGCGATTCTAGCACGACTTGGCAGACGGGCGGCATCTCGACCTTTTCTGCGCGCCGGTTCGGAATTTTCGCGCATCGCGGGCGCCCGCTCCTCGGGGAAATCAGATCGTCTTTCAATCTGCTGTGCACGCCTCCTGCAGCTCTGTTGACCCGACCACAGCTGCACTGCCACCCATCTTCATCACCACGACCTTCTTCTCACGATCACCTCCCACCACACATCGCCTACATCAAATGCTCAGCATGTCGGCACTCGGGCGCACCGCTAAACCTACACTTGGACCTCAGCCCGCTTACTCAGACGTGCGAGAAATCCCAACACTCAAACAAGGAAGATTCGCACCTCTGCGCTACGATGAGATTCTCCAAGCCGCCTCCAGAGATCACGATGATCCTCCACCCAAACCTGGTCCGAGCGACTGCTGCGGCAGTAGCTGTCAACCCTGCGTAAAGGAGCTGTGGAGCGAGGAGCTGAGAGCTTGGAAGGAAAGGTGGGGAAAGGGCAGCTCGAGCAAGGCCTCGAAGAATGGCCGCGGTAGATCAGAAGCTGACGAGATCGGAGCCTCGAAGCAAGTCGGTGCCAGTGCGAATGCGGGTGCGGATGACGGAGCGTGTGGCATGCCTGGAGGTCCACCACAGTGGTGAGCGGCAGCATCTGCCTCCAACACGCGACCATCGTTTGCCGCTCCAGGACCTGAGGAGCTGCACACAATCCTGGAGCTTGAGTCACCTCGGCACCAAACTCGTGCGCGTTTGGATGCCCGTCCTCTTGCCGCGTACTCGCGCAGTCAAGGCTTCTTTCCAATTCTGACCAAGGGTGTCACATCCAGATTTCGAAGTCATCATTCGCAGCGGACAAGAGCTGGCGAATGCTGCAGAGCTTCTGAGCGCCAAGGTTACAAATTTCGCATCCTTTCAGTTGGGCTCCGTTGGGGTGACTGCAGCGATGATACTCACAGAGAGAAGTGGGACCACAATTGTTGTCAAGAATTACGGATGAGGCTTCGCCCAGCACTGCTTCTAGCACTCGTATAACCCCCAGACACAAGCGTCACCACAGTCTGCTGGTCGAGCTTCGCTGAGAACTTATTCAAGAGGATAGCTAGTACCTTTGCGCAACCGGATTCCCAATCTTTGCTCTTAATTGGGTTTACCTGCAAGAATCTGAACTTTGCACGGACGAGCATGTGCAAACTTTCACCTGAGGCAATGACAGAGAAAATCTCATTCGTTGTCAGAACGATTCAAACCTCAAAGCAGGCACACGCGTTGCCATTTCTGTGAGCAGACATTGAGGCAGCGATGACGCCGAGCTCGGCTGGCGTAACTTTTCAGTCACGCCCTCAAGATTTGAAAAAACGTAGGTCCACGCGACGTTGAGAAGTCATTTCATTTTGACTTGACTCATGACAGCCTGCTTTTCCTGCTAAGCGCTTGGTGTTTTGAGAGCCTCTCCAGACTTGCTCTCGATGGGCTCCCTTGCCTCGAGGCTTTCTACATTTGTCGCGACAAGCTTGGCAAAGCACTCCTTCGTGATCTCAAACCTTTCCAATTTTTGGAGGATGAAGGCCGCTCTAGCGAGGCTGTATAAAGAGCGGGATCGCCTACATCCCGCAAGCGAGCCTTGTTTTGACCGGGACATACCACTGCTCCTGGCCTATGTGTCTCACCAAGCCGCAAAGTCGCTAGTCTTACCTTCTGACAGAGCCCGGTGTACGAAGCGATCACTTCTGTGCTCGGCTTGAGCATGTCTCCGTCAGATATGCAGACCACACTAAGCACATAATAGAGTCAGCTCCCAAAGTTTCACCACACGGTAAGCAGACTTTTGCGAATCACTCTTTTTGTGGTCATGTAATACCATCTCGTTACCCATACCTCGAAATCTTTGATGCTGTGGTAATCCTTGACTTTCCCGCAATCATCATCGATATTGCAATCCCGAGAGTTTACACCTCTCCAAATGACCAAAATATCCATCTTGATCATGGTGCCATTGTGATCAAATGCCGGGGTGTTGCATGCAGATCGAATCTTGGACTGCCCTTCCAAGACGCAGCAGTGAATGAACATCTGATGCAGCGGTAGATAAAGGTTTGTTTGAAAGTACAGAAGAGATATATGCGCGCACTGGCGAACGGAGAAAAGGAAAGCAGACTGGGAGGTGCTGTCATCGACGTTACATACGAAGCGATTGCAGAAAGTCATATTGAGTCTGTCAATGGAGGACGACGGTGGAAGTAAGATAAGCAAGAGCTCCAAGCGGCATATTTGCGGCTGTGGTGACAGAGCTGATGCCCGCGCCCCACTTGTCAAGACCTAGGATGCTGTTTCAATTCAAGCTAACGCTGCACCAAAAGCTTTCAACCCCTTTGGAGGTTGACGTAGCACGCTTGCATACCTGAGCGTTGACTCTTTTCAGGGTGTAGCTTGTTGGGCAGTATGATCGTGTAAAATTCGTTTGCAATACGCAGCAAGAGTCTGCCGCAGCGGTCTCGCCTCGGTCATTGCCAGCGAAATGGGCGAGCCAGTCCACATTGGCTGCGTCATTCATATTACTCTTCTTGAGAGCAAGTGCAGGAATTGTAGAGACATGTTTGCCGCTTTTATGATAATACTGTTGGAGCAATTGCGACCCTCTTGACGCCTGAAGCATCACCACTCGTGGCCCAGAAGCAGTCACTTATCAAGACATCTAGTAGACCGAGAAACGCATTCGTCACCAAGTACTGACTCAAATTCTCTTAAGAATGGGTGACGGCACAGAACAAAAGATATGTTGCGGACTGTATCCCTTTTTGGATGTGGAATGCACCTCTGGAAGCCCGCTTCAAAAGCCAGGAGCATTTGGACCGGTTCGTTGCCCGACTGCTGCCCCTCGTTCACCTTGAAGTTTTTGATCGTGCATTAGATCAGGCGCCACACTTGGACTGCAACACACGATCTCATTTTGCATTGGGTGACATTTGCTTTTTGAATCTGATATGTTCGGAAGAAAAAGACACTGGAGCGTGTCAAACACGCACGCAAGAAGAACACCACGCGCGGCTCGCGTTTCGTGACATTTGCTTACATGACCGAGAAAGAGATCCTAAATTTCCAGCAGAATGAGGCGCTTCGTTGTGCACGTCAAGCTCTTATTCAGTGCGCGTTGAGGAGCATCGCTTGCATTTCATATGGCTAATTCCGTCTGGTCTACTATCGACAACCTCTCCTCTCCGCTCGCCAGCACCATGCATCAAAATGTGACTTTCAGCCTCATCTAGAGCATAAGACTCGGACGGCAGCAGATAACAGTCATGAAACGCGCTCACTGAGAAATATGATCAAGGACGTTCTCGGACGAAATATCGTTAAAAAGTGCGCCCAAGTCAATGAAAAGGTTGCCAATCTGAAGCTGAGGCACACCACCTTTCTTAATTTCAGATCCCAGTCTTCAGTATGAATAGATAGCGCTGGTCGGAGTGCAGGTGATGTTCCACAGAAGTTGTTGAAAGCGCACTACGAACGCGAACGAGAATGCCAGCGACGTGTCGGAGCTTGCTTAGGAGCTTTGTATCGGGCGCTCGGTCACCCAGAGTTTTCAAGACCCGCAACTTTTCCAATTTTCACAGCTACTCTGTGGGGCCCGGACATGATGTCAAACAAATGTGAGCTCTCATCGCACGGTAGGCTAGATGACCTTCTTTCGGTCATTGTACCTCAACCAGGTAGCAAGTCTTAACTCCGTTGTCACTTTTCCTTTCCTTTTTTTTTTTTGGTAATCGATCACCTCGCATGTCTTCGAGACCGCCGAATCGAAATTCTTTTGACCGGTCAAAGTGATCTTGGTCCAGTGCTTGAAGTGTGTTTCTGGCGTGTACGTCTCGTTTCGTTTCGTTATTTTTCTTCGCTTTGGCCCCTTGCTGATCGGTCTGTTGACTTCATCACCCCAAATCAAAGGTCACCTGAGCAAAGAATCGTAGCATCTCGAGACTCTTTTGAGTGCTTATTCACCTCATCTTTCTCCGCGCGGCCAGGCCAGAATGAAGTTGGAGGTGTCCGTCAAGCAGATTCAGCATTTGATGCGTGAGCGCAGATTTTGTAGGCCGACGGACTCTCTGTTTTTCCTCCTGTGTGGAACGTCAAGAAGGCGCTCCACCAGCCCTGTCTATGACACAATCTTTCACAGTTGCGGGGAGTATTCCGCATGTGACTCAACGCAATCATGAATCGGAATCCTTTGTTTCATCCCTTTGACGATTGCATTGAGCAGCTCAAGAAGTGCAACGCAGACACTTGGAAAAATGTCGGGCAGAAGCCCGTGAATGCACGGTCCTGTCACAACGCTGGACGGCTAATAAGAGCAAATTTACCTGTAGCGAAGACGTACCTGAGCAAATATGCGCCACCACCAGTGGAAGAGCGCGCTTGTCCTCGGAGTATATCATAGTGAGGTGACGGAACGCGTTGACTAGTAGAAGCAATCTCGGTCTCGGTACCCTTGAGAAAGAAAGATTGGGAATCACTGTCCGGGTTTCCCGTCGGAGTGGTTTGCCTCGCTTTATACGAGCGGGCCTTTGCGGCGAGGTTTTCGGACGAGGGAAATAGGAGATAGTTGCGGTCGTGAGAGCAAGCATCTCTCACTGCAGCTGAGATAAATTATGCGATGCTTCTTTCTATCGGATGGGTTGGTAGTAATGACCAGTTGTCGGCCGACAGCGTCGGCAGGCTGAAGCGCGCGCAGCCGGCGAGAGATAAACATTTCATTGATAAATCCTCGGCTGCGTCGCGTCGCGTCGACTCACTAATGGGACTTTACACCGAAAACAAGAAAGTGGTCACAGCCAGATTGCTTTCGAGCCCATGCATTACTGATCAGCTGGTGCGCTTTGCAACTTACTGTCAAACGCAAGGCCATGAGAGCAAAATTCAGAGATTTGCCCCATAGTAGAGACTTGAGAAATACAGAAGGTAGTGTCGTGAGGTCTGGCTGCCGCATCAGGCAATCTGGAATTTCGTTTCTTGTCTCGAGCCTACTTGAGCGGCAGAACGCGCACAAAATTTACGATGCACTGACGTATGTCGAGTTTCCTTCTGCCATGATACCCGTTGTAGTCTTGAGTTGCAGAGTAAAAGTGGTCTGCCACACGTGAGCGTCATCCATAGGGTCCCCGAATGAGACCCACGATAATCGACTTACTTTAACGCACTTAGCTCCTGGGCATCAGCTGTGGGACCTCGCTTGCGGTTTTTGTTTTTGTTTTGTTTTGTTTTTCCCCTCTGTTTTTGGGAACGCTGGATGCGCTGCTTATAATGGCGGAACATCGCCAGATCCTGATAGGACTGTTTCTAGATGTGACTTGCACCTCAATGAGTGTTAGGTAAGTCTGCTTCAGTGGCTCGGTCAGATCTTCACAATACACAGGTAAGAACCAGGCTCGATTTCACTGTGATGCAGCACTTATGACGGCAGTCGCCCTATTAGAGAAAAGAGTCGTACATCAGCGTCTAGTCAATCTGTCTGGTTGCAAGCTGGCCCATATCTTTGTGTCTTGTTTCAAGGGGATCGTCTCGGCGGGGGTTTGGACGACTAGCGCCAGGTGTGGCGCCTAAATCTAGGATGTCGGCAGTGCGAGAAGTTGGCAGGGTAGATGTGAGATTGTGCCCCCTCGCTTCTTCTCCTTGATCAAGTCAAGCATGCGGGACAGCCAACATTGTATTCTGGCCATCTGAAAGATAATAACTTGGCCAGCAAGTCTTGCCTCTCCTCTTCCAACTTTTTGTTACTGCGCCTTTTTCTTTCTTGGCCTGCTCCACGTTGACCATTTCTACATCATCCCCGTATTGTTCGAGTTCCCCCTTGGCCATCTTGACATCTTTGTCGGCCTCTCTGCGCTCTTCAAGCACTCTGCGCTCTGACTTGCTGCTTATGCTGATCTCACTGCAACTCAGAAAGAGCCTATTTGCAATCAAAATGGCATGAAGATGCACACAGCTTTGCAAAGTTGCATGTGGCAGCCTTGGCAAGCACATTGGCTGGGCAGAGTCAAATTCTATTGCTCAGGAAAGTCGGATTCAACGCAGCAGCCCCGACTTCTGCCTGCCCTAGCTGAAGCTCTTTGATGATATGTGATGCTAGTAGAAAGCATTGATTGAGCTCATTGCAGAGAGCATTGATTGCACGCCTGTCCTTTAAAGTCCTTGCTGAGTTGGCCAACATCTGATCTCGAGCACATTCGCACACGACTTGCGCATGTGAGAAGCGTGGCGACCGATGGGTGAGGAGGGATAGAAGAAGAAATGTACATATGCGAGACAATCTAAAATCCAATTGACATCCAAGTTGGTTCCAATTTAGCACACGCACGCAGCAGGCAAGACAACCACGTACTTGGAGATGATAGGCGCGCGAGAGCTGTGGGAGCAAGAAGAAGAGCGGCGGAAGCGGCAAGAGTGAGACGTGGCGAGGGCGAGAGCGCCGCCTTGGCAAGAGTGAGAGCAGCAACGTTGTGTAGAAGTGTTGCAGTTGCAAAGAGCCCTCGCAATTTTGAGGAACATCTCGGTCGTCATGAGCATTGCTTTTTATCAACATCTCGGTTGTCATGAGCATCGCTTCGTATCAGCATCTCGGTTGTAATGAGCATCTTGATCATCATCTCGGTCGTGATCAGCACCGCTTCGTGATCAGCATTTTGGTCTGATGAGCGTCGCAATCTTAACGAGCATCGCTACAATCCCCGCAACCATGCCTGGCCAGCCATTCTTATTGGGCCACCTTTGCTCTCATGACCAATGGCACAGCTTGTGTCAAAGACTCTGCATGTGCAGTCATGAAGGCAGCCAAGGGATTCTCCAAGAAGGAATCCAGCAAGAAACCCCACCAGCCCTCTGCCAGCATAAAGTGGTTGCCAATGAGGACAAGGCAAATGACCCTGTTGCTGATCAAAGTCCGCACCATGAGTGGCCAGGAGAGGTAGGCCATCCTCTCCATGATGGTGCAAGGCTGAGCTTCCTGGACCATGTTGATCTTGATGGAGGAGCTGTTCAATGCTGCAGAGGGGGCAGCACGGGTGGCGGGAGGCGGAGGTAAGGCAACAGGAGGCAAGATTGTCACGACAAGGCTATCAAAGGCAGCAGCCACAAGCAGAGCATGGCTGTGCGCCTCGAACCAGCCCCACTGATCGTTGTTGCTCTGGCAAGGCTTCTGCCTCCACAGCAGCTGGCAAGTGTCGTCCGAACGGTTGTCGAGCAAGGAGGCGTACATGTTCTGCCAGAGCTTGGGCAGCTCCAGTACAACTTGGCAACAGCATTGTCTAACCAGCATGTACAAATCCTCCTGGCCAAAGACTGCCCTTGCGACGCCTCGGAAGCCACAGTGACTGTCTGCTCCAGGGTTGTAGAGCTTGCTCGGTAGACCCAAGCCCAGCAAAAAGGTAGCGACCTCCTCGTCGGGCGTGGTGATGCTGCCTTCCCAAGAGAGTCCACTGGCTGTACCCTGGGTAGCTGACGGCCAGTGTGGTCTTCCAGTTGCTGCGCCGAGACCTCCATCGCATGAGCTGGCAACGCCTTGCTGATTGCTGCTGCTGCTGCCGCGCCTCCTCTGGGCAAGGCGTCCGTGTGCACAAAGGCGACGGACCTGTGCTGCTGGTGAGCGACAACACTGAACCAGACCTTTGCACCACTGCCATGCACACGGACTTGAGCAAGGCAAGGCCATTGCACTTCCAGGCTAGGATGAGCATGGCCATCTGGCGTGATCTCCAGAGTGGCCAAGCAAGGCAAGTCTGCTGTGCCCGTGCGCTCATCCTTGGCGTCCATGATGGCCTCCAGCGAACCGTGCTTAGGCACTGGCAAGCGACCAGCAGGCCATTCCCAGTGGAATCTGGCTCAACGGACGGTGCCAATCTTACCAGTCATCTCCCGCACTTCGGACTGCTTGAGGCCAGCTTGAAAGCCAGCATAGCAAATGGCAGCCCAGTGGGCAATCCGAAGCGAGGAGCAGACGATGGTGCTGGCAACTGCACCTGGACCCGTTTGACCTGCCCACTTTTCTGCCTCCTCGCAATCAGGCAAGATGCCCGGCTGCACGCTCTCCAGAGGGGCCTGGGTGGTGCTGGGTGATTCTGTCGAGATGTGCGTCATCGTTGAGCTGGGCAGCGGATGCGTCGAGACGATCGTGGAGCTGGGCAGCGGCATCGATGGTGGTGGCATTGTCGAGGGCGGGCGTTGGCTCGATCCGGGTGCCACAGATGGGCTTGCGGGGGCACGCAGTGTGCCGCCGCGCTCCGGTGTCCTGTGCTGGTCCTCCATCGCTTTTGGAAGGATTCGCTGGAGGAGATGCCGGCGGCGTGAGCAACCAGGCCAGGGGCAAGAGACGCACCGAGAACAACAACTCACAGAAGTTCTGCGCGCTCCACCACCGTTGCCTCCCTGCAGGCGCACCATCTCATCTTCGTAAAAAGTTCTTTTGGTCCCGTTGCTGGTTGTTGCTACAACACAAGCGCTGGCGTGTCCAGCCCTGATGGACACAACTGGAGCAATCGTGCCAGTCTGTATGCGTACGCATAAGCCTCTGCATGCCGCACAGGAATCAAGATGCCAACGCTCACCAAAGTCATGCAGAGATCTCCAACCTTGAGATCCTGCTCCCTCCTGACCTGCCAGTCTTCACCCTGCTTGACCACGTACAGCCAATTGACAGCAGCAGTGTCCATTGCGACAGATGTCACACACTTTGAGGGTAGGATTGTGGGCAAGACAGAGATCAAGGCGGAGAGCAGGGTGGATAACAGAGAGATTGCCAGGTGGAAACTCTTCGAGAGTATGGATGGATGTGCAACGACAACGTGCGAGCGAGTGACGTCTTTCAATTCCAATGCTCCTGCATCAAGGTCAAGAAGGCAAGAGTGCAAGATGTAGCCTTGCAGATAAAGCATTGCACATGTGCCCAGTGCATTGACTTCTTGCACTTTGACCTTCTCTGCTTTGCCATTTGCCTCCACCTTTACCTGACCTTCATCAAAAAGGTAGCGAGCACGTTTTGCAGCCTCTACTCCTGTGGTGCTGGAGGGGCCCTCGGCTTCTATTGCCAGCAAGACAGCCACAAGAATGCTGCGAACAACTCTGATCAATACGGCACGCTCTGCCTCACCCCTCAAAGAAGAGATCAAGGGCAGAGTCGTGATCAGAGGAGTATGCGGCACATTGCGCTTTGGCAACTCGATCCGCAACGCATCTGGCACCGCATTTGCGGGGTGCAAACGGTCTTCAGAGGGATTGGTGCACGCCAGTGCTCTACCAAAGGTAGCAAAGGATGGTTCCAAGGATATCATACCTTTGAGATGATGCTCCACATGGTACCGCAAGACATAGTACAATGCTGCACCAAAAGCAACAACAACTGTGGGAAGCTGCTGCTGCTGCTGCTTCAGCCATGCCAAAATAGACGTGCTGCTGATGACGCCAGGTGATTGCACAACAATGTCGAAAGCATTCACCTTTGCACCAACGGCAGTCAAACCCTTTTCAAGCCATGCTCTTTGCGCATTTTGGTTGTACTCACCAACAGCGGCCTTCTTGAGAAGGACAAGGCGCACCTTGCGCTGCAGCAAATCGACAAGGCCGGTAAAGACGCTTGCATAGCCACCAACACTTGTACTGCTAAGCAGATCAATGCGCTGCACAAGTCCCGTTGACTGAGGGCGCAAACGCCCATCCTGATCATCCGCTCTGCGCAGCGCCTGGGCTCTGGACCCTCGTTGGGTGTTGGCCAAGTTGTTGACGCCGCAGCAGCAAATGCTGAGTGGCTCCAGCAAGCAGCGCTCCGGATCATTGTACTTGGGGTTGATCTCTTTGACCCCCATGAGCACGATCAGATCCATCACCTCTGCCTGCACACTGAGCTCCAGCATGGCATGGCCAAAGAATGGCAAAACCAGCTCTGCCTTTTGGTCCCTTTCTGCCTCCTCCAGGTCACCCTGCAAGCGGCTTATAGCGGTACCGCTAGATGTCTGGCCACCATAGCACAGAGCAATCATAGCACCTGGAGCGTCCTTGCATCGCTTTTCCCAGACCAACTTGCAAGCAAGCAAGGTACTCCACTCTTTGATCTTTTGGTGGCAGCGTGCTACTGCCGCCACAGTTTCCACCTTTACGCATTGATGCTGCTGTAAGGGTCCAAAGTGGCTTGTACATGCCGTAGACTACGGCAGTAAGGGTTTATTTGCAGCCGAGGTCTGATTGGCAGAAATGCTTGAACATGGGTTGCAGCTAGACCACAGCAGGAACTTCGAGGCTGCTTTTGCAAACAATATCACAGCCAGCAAAGAGGTTCTTGCAATCCCTACCTTTTTGGCCTGTCTTCTGGAGCAGGCAGGATGTTGTATTGGAGGAGGAATGGTGTGGTCATTGTATGTGTGTGTGTGTGTGTGTGTGTGTGTGTGTGTGTGCGTGCGTGCGTGTGTGTGTGTAGCAAGTGCGCGTGCTTTAGCTTGCTTTTATAGCGAGTGAGGGTCAGCATTTACGAACGCTAGGAGTGATGGTAGAGGTCCCCAAGCGACGCGATCCTCTCAGAGGCTTTGAAGATGTCATTGTGCGCCCCACTTCACATGTGGCCATCCATCGTGAATTTGACCTCAAGTGGACCTCGCACAGCGCGCACACCGAATCAAGTCGAGCCTTGTCAAGCGGTCTGCACCCACCATCGCCAACTTGTGGATTCACAATCGAGGCGACGTCGAAAGCGATGCATATTGCTGATGCCTGCCAACAACATGTTGTCGAAAAGCGCATGAGGAAGTTGGCGCCGCCAAGGATGGGACGCTTCTGTACTATTTGCAATGATTCTTGTTGTTGCACTCTGCAGAGAGCGCTTTCCATCCGAGAGCTCTGCCCACCTGCATCCGGGCGAGATGTGAGTCCACCGATGCTGCTTGTTTGGCTGGACAGCTGATCGTCTCGCTCACCTGCGCAGTAAAGTCCGCACTGGCATCCCTACAAAAGACCCGAACAAAACAATGAGCGCTCTGCATGCACGACGTACACGCCATTGCTCACTGGGCACACACAGCCCAAGCGTGGGGAGTGTCTCGCATTCGTTTGTTGTCGTACGTAGCATCGAAGAAGTTGAAGTCGACTGAGCCCGCCAGATTGTTGCATTTGTCGCTCCAGCATGTCGCTGCTGCATCGACCGTAGCGCAACCCTTATCGCCAGTGGTAAAGGTCCAGACTGTCGGCGACGGCAACGTGTATGTGAGGCTGGGGTCAGCGGAAAGCGAGGCGCTCGGGCAATCCTGCAACCAAGCGATACCCACACATCACCTGCTTGCTCATCCACCAGGACGGCTTGCTCATCTTTGAGACGGCCAGTCCGACCATGCAGGCCAGGAGAAGCAGCTTCGAGGCTCTGCGAGAGTAGACCGCTGACATTTTGAAGTAGTGAGAGGTGGGAGTGTGACGGATGAGAGGCGTGGTGTTGGGATGGATCAGCTGTTGTTGCGGTGTGTCACATCTTCAAGACTTGAGCGCATTGATGCCTCGTCGCGCAAGCCGCGAGTCTTGTCGCTCTTGCCACTCGACGCGCCGTGACTGCCGGAACAGCCATCGACTGCGCTCTCGACTTGACCAAGTAAGGCTGCACTCGGTACACCACGGTCGTCCACTCGGTCGCGCAGACAATCAAAGCAGAGCACTCAGACCGCACCAACAGCGGCACGACAGAGTCCGCACAGCACGGGTGCCGTTTCAGCTTTTGAGGAAGCTCGCTGCTTTGTGACAGTAGCAGCGCAGACGCACGCCCTGATCCATGCTCTCGTGCACGCACAATGAAAGCGTCGTGCCACTTTGCGCGCCCCGTGCCTGCGATGCCAGCGCAAACATGGACACGTGCGGCTGGCACCAAGAATTAGAACGCCGCTCTTAAGGCACTCGGTCTAGAATAGACGTCTGCGTGGTGCTGCGCTGATTGATACAGCGCTGCTGCCACAGATTGACATTGCCGCCGCCGCCGCCGCCGCCCGCCGCCGCTGCTGCCCGCCTGATGATCGCCTCGAGCGCGGACCCCGGCGTCGTGGTCCAGCGCAGCGGCGCTTCTTCACAGAGACAGACCTGCTCGTCCCTGATGTGTCATGCTCAGTCCCCACGTTCATCAGAGAAGGCGCCACCACCGAGCACATTGGCCTGTGCAAGCCGACAGCAGTGCCAACAGCGTGGCGACTGAACAGAATGTAGTTCCCACGGCAAGGTGCGAGCGCCAAAGCGAATCGCGCGGCTCTCCGCTTGTTCCTGCGCATCGAAGAGCGCAAGCGGCCCGAAGTGCGCAGTGGATGCTCGTACATTGGACTGCGATGCTTTGCGCACAAGCAAAAGGGCGCGGCAGAATCCCGCGAAGCTCATGAATGCAGTACTGCCATGCCTTGCAAGTGCTGCGTTGCAATCTGATGGGCGTGCGGGGAGATGTGTGAAGCGGATGCACTCCCATCGACAGAGTCGACAAGTTCTGGGCGCGCCATGCAGTCAAGAAGCGCAAGTGGAGATCGACGATGCTGCTGATCTGGATCACGTGCCGCCAAAAAATGGCGCCGACAAGCGTCGAAGTGGGGCAGTCGAAGCTGCGAAAAGAGAAGGCAGAGCGCGCGAGGTGCTTGATGAAGCTGTTCGTTAGGACGAGATTGCACAGGCCGAGCCGTCGGTCTCACAGCGAGGCCTCTCCCGCCTGCTACACAAACTTGCACCTCCGACCTCTCGGCGCTCTGCGACAGGCGCAACTAGTGCTAGCACCAAACGGCGGGCGACAACACTTGCTGACACGGCAAGCGGAGGATGAAGGCGTGCACTCGACGAGGGCTATGCGCGCAGCGAGCGCCCTGATGAGGTCGCGTCACAGGGATGGATGCTTTCGCGTCCCCGAGAGTGAATCTGAATGTCACATGCTCCTTTCGGCATCTCGATTGCAACAGCAAATCGCATGACTGCCGCGGAGGGATGGCATCGATGGAAGAGTGATGACGAAGCACGACAAGTGAAGACACAACGCAGCACAAAGTCGAGCCTTGCCGCCAGCTCGCCCGACTCACTCCACGCGCTCGCACGCCGGCACTCCTGCTTGCTCCAATGACACCACCCGCCCCGCCTCGCCTCGACTCTCATCGCGATTCAGCACCGAGACTCGCACTCGTGACTCAGACTCGGACAAGCTGGGTGCGGTGGTTGCTGCTCAAACGGCGCGACTTGCGCGCTTGCTGGCTGCAACCTTTTGCCCTTTGACCCATTCCGACTGCCGCTGCATGCAGGCACGGCGCGTGATGATGATGATGATGGCATGTTTGGGGTGCGCCCAGCCAAAGCAGCATGGGTCCCGCACGAGTGACGAATCGCTTGCCATGTACACCGCACTCTAGATGTGCCACAGTGCACACAGTCAGGAGCACAATCAGTCGTGAGTTCTGAGCATCAAGCTGGAGAAAAGGCGCGTCCGTGGGTGGTCGCTGTCGCTGGGAAAGTGTTTGCGAGGAGTGCGTGCAACGCACACGAGTCGGCTCAAGGTTTCACTTCATCGGTCGACGGTCCAACATTTCGCTTAACCTCTTGGTGCGGTGCTTAGTCTCGCCTGGGCGCTGCTTCATGCACTGCGTCTGTGATGGGCGATTGCGAGTACAGTACAAGGAAGGAAGGCATCGATCGGGCTAAAGAGCCTCGAGCCCCGAGTCGCGCGCTTCGCCGCCCCTCGGCCGGAGCTTTGTCACTCGATCGTGACTCGTGACTCAACTGCGATTCAGATTCAAATCCTTGATTGTCCTTCCTTCCTTAATTGCTGCCGGTGGGCGCTTCGCTGCAAGCGCAAGGAACACGCATGCGTGCATGATGCATGGGCCTGCATGCAGCATGCAGATCTGGGACTTGGCAAGTCTCGCTCGCCTGCTGCTGGCCGCGGAGTCTGAGTCTGAGTGTTTGGGCGGCGCGCGGAGATCCCTGAGAAGAGCAATCCATCCATCCATCCGCGCGTGCGAGGACGAGATGCGGTGTGATCTTCAACGACCACCAATCACGAATCGCAAATCACGTGAATCTTGATTGCTTCTTCTGTCGATCGGTGATTCGGTGCTTTGCGCTTGTTGTGGTGCGCAAATTGTCCACATCGACTCGGACGCTGCGGAAGAGTCTCACACTCGCACCGCACCGTATTTCGCGCCGAGAAGCTTTCATGCGGCATGCAGGCGCGGGCACGCGCACGCGCACGCAGCGACCGCATGAGACGCACGGGAGCACGACCCACGACTCACGACTCACGACTCACCACTGGCGCCCTGGCCATCTCCACGCAACTCGCAACTCGCACCTCGCACCTCGCACCTCGGCATTTAGGATGCAAATTCCGCGGACGATGATTTGCCATTCACATTGGTGATCCGCTTTGTAGTCGGGGTGCGTGCACGGTGCATGGCGCATGGGTCCACCATCGCCTACCGCTACATCTCATGATGCTTCATGCCCGTCGCCTTCTCATCAGACGCCTCGACCCTCACGAGCTCGAGTGGGAGCTGGAGGTGTACTCTGCTTCTACGGTCCGGTCTAGTCTACCGCGCTTCTCGCTCATGCTCGTGTCGAGCACAGGACCAACAATCACCCCGCACACCACAGCTTGCGAGCTTCGGAAGCTCTGATCAGGCCCGGCCTCTTTCGAGACGTCCACAGACAGTCAAAATTGTGCCACCACCATCCCCTTTCCTCGCCCCCCGAAGCGAGCCTCCCGCCTGGCTGCGGACCCCCTTGAAAAGTCCGCCATCCCAACCGCTATTGCCCCTCCCCGCCCCTCGCAACGAGTATTGACCATGGCAGACTCATCTCCGGAACGTTTGGTGGCGCTCATCCTCGAGATTTCAAAAGCTGCTGCGCCCGTAGCCTACCTCGGCTGCGTCTGCTGTGAGTGGGGCTCTCTTTGCGCGTCGCATGGCCAAGAAAAATGTCGCAAAGCTGCTTGCTCGAGGACGTTGACAGAGCTGATGAGCTAGCCCATCCATCCAAACGCCTCTTGCCGCGCGTCCCGACACGACGCAGTGGGGTTGGTCATTGGCGACTTCTTCGGTGCGCTCGAATGGGAGTTGGCGCTGGCGAGAGAGTGCAAGAGGAGGGTGATGGTGGCCTACTTTATGGCTCGAACGTGTAGCGTCATCGCGCTCTCTGTCCTCATCGCCCTCATGAGCGTCGGAAGCTTCAAGATCGACATTTGCGGGCCCCTCACGCACGTGATGTCCACCTTCATCGCCTTGTCGACAGCATCAGCTCAGTACCTATACGTGGGACGAGTCACGTCCATCTGGCAGGCGCGCCCGTGGGTCAAATACCTCATGCTCCTCACCTGGTCCCTCTCCGCTTTGTCCTGGATTCCCCTCATCGTCTTCTTCGTCGGCCTGCAGAATCCAGTCGGTCTGCTGGTGTGCATTCCCGCCGAGCCTGTCAGCAACCTCACCACCATTCCATACTTTTTCAACATGATGTACGATCTCTTGGTCTTTGCCTTGATCGTCGTCGGCTTCCACCGCCAGGGCAAGCTCAATCTCTTCAAACGCAAATCGACCGATAGCGACTTGACGCGCCATCTAGTCGTCACTACAATACTCTACTTTACCATCCTGTCACTCTTCCTCATTGGGCAGACCATTGCGTTCTGGGTGGCCCAATCGCCAGCACGCAAGGTCCTCTCTGCTCCTCTCCACGCTGCACTGGTGTGAGTCGTGCGTCAGTTGCGAGGAGCAATGTTCGCACTACTGATGTGTCCGCCATTCCATTCTCAGGGCCATCATCTCGTGCCGGCTGTTCAGAAACTTGCGACAGCTCGCGCGTGGCGACAGTCCTCTGCCAACGGAGGCGCGAAGCGGAGGAGGAACGTTTGTCGGCAGGGGAGCGAGTAGCAATGCTCGCCGCGACCTGAACGCCGAGTTTGAGGTGAGGATCGCGGTCAACGCTTGCAGCGCCCCGCGTCACCTGCTCACACTCTCTGCATCTGATTGATGACTTTTGTGCTGATCGAAGACGTACGCTGGAGCAGTGCATTTGCATTCGCAATCGTCACGACAGGCAGCATCCGAGGAGCACACCGCTAAACCCATGCTGAGCGAGTACTCCAAAGGATTTGGCAATTCACTGAGCCCGACTGCCACCCCGAGCATCAACAACTCAGCTTTGCGCACACCGGACATCTTCGAAGGGCACGGCTGGGCCAAGTGAGCTTGAGTTGCATTTGGGGCGCTCTCCAACGTCTTGGGTTTCTATCTCTGCGCCCCCCTCGCGAAGCTCCTCCCACTTCAACAGCCATATCACCTTTCACACGTCGAGCGGCACCAGCTTCGACGTCGTGCGTCATCTTCTTGTGGTTCGCTCATGTATCTCGCTTGCACCATACCCAAAGCCATGCAGTCGAGAGAGTGCAAGTGAGCTGCCCTTGTGATCGGGACCACCAGATCCTCAAGACTGTTTTTGTTGCCACGTCCGAGTCTACGCAAGAGACTCCGAGGGACTTTGACAGCCCACGCGCGGAGCAAGTCACATGAGTTGTCTGTCGTTTCTAAAATGTTCAATTGGACGTGGACGTGACTCGTGATTTCAATGAAAGTGCTCTCAAGTTTGGTTGCTCGGGGAGACGAGCTGAAGTACTGAAAGCGATTGAAGTGACCAAGCATCGTTGCCAATGTCGACAATCAAAAAGTGTCGGCTGCATGTGAATGAGCAAAGTGGGGGAGGGATTCAGTCGTGACAGTCACTGAGACTCGACGCGCGCTACGAGTGGAAAAGGGAGGCACGCACGCGCGTTAGTCACAAAGCGCACCAGGGAGTGGGAGTGAGTGGAGCAAACAAGTAGATGACAAGTCAGTAGCTGACACTCTGATATTGCACTTTTACGCAACGAGACAGTCAAATTAGGTGATCCGGCTTTGTCTGCAATGAGCGAAATCTGGCGCTGGCCACGTCTCGCCGCGCGGCACAACCAGGCGCAGTAGAAAGTGAGGTACGAAGACATTCGAAGTTGACATCTGACCGACAGGAAGTTGGACAGGTCTGTCGTCTTTGCTCTCCGTATCTAACAATTAGCTCTTAATCTCTTCGAGAAGAGCTTGGATTGTCCATCGATACGCGCGTGATAATTGATAGAGTTTAGGATTTGTCGTGTGGGAGCAGCAACTCGCAAGCGAGCGACGCTTCCACTCAAGACAGGGAGTGCTGGTCCCTTTGCTTAATGTCACAGACAAGCGTTTCAATGTGGAACACACAAGGAAGACAAGGTTCAAGTCAGGCCTGCATGGCCAAAGATCTTGTCGCGCAGAGGCAGCTGAGGAACTCGCGCTTAAGGTGAGGCTACCTTACCTTGTGCTTACCTTACCTTGTGCTGCATCACTTTGCCAACAAGCAGTTTTGACAGTGGCAAGTTGTAGCCACCATGGTTAACAAGGAGGTCAAAGATGATGTTGATTGGCGCTGTCAGGACCTGCACTGCTGGCAAGAAGCAAGGTACATCTGCAAGGATGACCGCTATGCAGGCAAGAATAACAACAGCTAGGGGGTTAGGGTTAGGGTTAGGGTTAGGGTTAGGGTTAGGGTTAGGGTTAGGGTTAGGGTTAGGGTTAGGGTTAGGGTTAGGGTTAGGGTTAGGGTT